ACATCGTCATCCTCATCGTCATCGTCATCGTCATCGTCATCAGCATCATCGGCATCAGCATCAGCATCATCATCACATCAGCCGCAGCAGCTGCAGCTGCAACTGCAGCAGCAGCAGCATCATCATCGTCAGCACGATTATCATCATCATCATCAGCATCATCATCATCAGCAGCAGCGTCAGCATCAGTATCATCTTCAGCATCATCATCATCCTCAACACCTTCATCAGCATCAGCAGCATCCCCATCGGCATTATCATCGTCATCATCATCATCATCATCATCATCAGCATCATCATCATCACCATCAGCCGCATCATCATCAGCCTCATCCTCATAATTATGCTCAGAATCCTCATCCTCATGCTCATCCGCATCCCCATCCTCATCATCAGCAGCAGCATCATCCGCATCATCGTCAGCATAATCATCGTCCTCATCCTGATCCGCATCCTCATCGCCATCATCATCATCATCATCATCATCATCATCGACATCAGCACCATCATCATGCCCAGCCTCATCATCATCATCATCATCATCAGCAGCATCATCATTATGATCAGCATCCTCATCCTCATGCTCATCCTCATCCCCATCCTCAACATCAGCGCCATCATAATCAGCATCATCATCAGCAGCAGCATTATCAGCATACTCATCGTCATCATGCTGATCCGCATCCTCATCCTCATCCCCATCGTCATCATCAGCGCCATCATCATCATCATCATCATCATCAGCATCATCATCGTCATCGTCATCGTCATCGTCATCATCAGCAGCATAATCGTCAGCATAATCATCGTCCTAATCCTGATCCGCATCCTCATCATCATCATCACCATCATCATCGTCATCTTTATCAGCAGCAGCATCATCATCATTACCATCACCATCACCATCACAATCACCATCACCATCACCAGCAGCACCATCAACACCAACACCATCACCATCACCATCACCAACGCCAATCACCATTACAATCACCATCACCACCATCACCATTACCATCACCATCACAATCACCATTACAAACACCATTACCATCACAATTACAAACACCAGCACCATCACCATCACCATTACCATCACCATCACAATCACAATCACCACCACCAACACCATCACCATCACCACCATCAGCATCATCATCCTCATCATCATCGTTTATCAGGAGCAGCATCAGCATCAGCAGCATCATCACCATCACCATCATCATCCTCATCATCAGCAGTATCGGCATCATCCTCATAATAAGTATCGTCATCATCATCAACGTCACCATCAGCATCATCATCCTCATCCGCATCCTCAGTCTCATCCTCATCATCATCAGTATCCTCCTCATCATCGTCATCATCATCCTCGTCCTGATCCTCATCCTTATCCTTATCCGCATCCTGATCCTCATCCTCATCCTCATCCTTATCCTTATCCTCACCCTCATCCTCATCCTCCTCATCCTCCCTCTCTTTCTCCTCTTCCTCCTCCTCCTCTTCCTCCTCCTCCTCCTCCACCTAATCCTCCTCCTGCTCCTCCTGCTACTCTTCCTCCTCTTCCTGCCCCCGCGCCCAATCGACCATCCTGCTCCTCCGCCGCCGCCGCCATCTGCTCATCCTCCTCATCGTCCTTCTGCTCTTCCATCCTTCTTCCGTGAAAATAGGTCCACCCTGTCGCACCAGCAGGCGTGTTCGTAGGTCGGGCCAGGCGTTTCGCTTGACACTTCCTTGCAGAATGTGGCTCTAGCGGGCCGCACCGCGCACTTTCGTCGGGCTCTCACCTGAGACTCCCTCAAGCATATTACCACAAGCGGTTTACAATCCTCCTCCTCCTCCACCTCCTCCCCCTCCTCCTCGCTCCTCCCCCTGATCCCCTACCTCGTCATCCTCCTCCCTCGTCCCCCTCCTCCTCTGTCTCCTCCACCTCCTCGTCCTCCTCCCTCCTCACCCTTGGGGCACTGCGGAATGAGTCTCATACAACACTCATCAGCACTGCCGGACGGGGGGGGGGCAGTCCTCCTCCTCCCCTCCTCCTCCTCCACCTCCTCCTCCTCCTCCTCCTCCTCCTCCTCCTCCTCCTCCTCCTCCTCCCTCCTCCTCCTCCTCCTCCTCCTCCTCCTCCTCCCTCCTCCCACTCCTCCTCCTCCTCCTCCTCCTCCCTCCTCCCCTCCTCCTCCTCATCGTCATCATCATCCTCACCACCACCACCACCAGCATCAGCATCAGCATCAGCATCAGCATCAGCATCATCATCATCATCATCATCATCATCATCATCATCATCATCATCATCATCATCATCATCATCATCATCATCATCATCATCATCATCATCATCATCATCATCATCATCATCATCATCATCCTCATCGTTATCAGCATCATCATCAGCATCACCAGCAACATCATCAGCATCATCCTATTGTCATCGTCATCCTAAGCATCAGCATCATCAGCATCATTGTCATCAGCATCAGCATCATCAGCATCATCATCATCATAACAGCATCATCAGTATCAGCATCATCAGCATCAGCATCATGATCAGTATCATCATCATCAGCATAATCATCAGCATCAGCATCATCAGAATCATCATCAGCATCATCATTATCGTAATTCTCATCATCAGCATCATCAGCAGCATCCTCGTCCTCATCCTCATCATCATCCTCATCCTCATCCTCCACATCCTCCTCATACTCCTCCACATCCTCCTCATCCTCATCCTCATCCTCCACCTCCTTCTCCACCTCCCCCTCATCCTCCTCACACTATCGTCCCTCCTCCTCTCCTCCTCATCCTCCTCCTCCTCCTCCTCCTCCCATCCTCCTGTTTCTCTTCGTCCTCCGCGCCCTCCTCCTCAACCACCCTCCTCCTCCTCCTCCTCCTCCTCCTCCTCCTCCTCCTCCTCCTCCTCCTCCTCCTCCTCCTCCTCCTCCTCCCCCTGCTCCTCCTCCTCCTCCTCTCCACTTCCTCCTCCCCTCCTCCTCTCTCCTCCTCCTCCTCCTCATCATCATCATAATCATCATCATCACCACCACCACCATCATCATCAGAAGCATCAGCATCATCATCAGCATCATCATCATCATCATCATCATCATCATCATCATCATCATCATCATCATCATCAGCATCATCATCATCATCATCATCATCATCATCATCATCATCATCATCATCATCATCATCATCATCATCATCATCAGCATCATCATCATCATCAGCATCGTCATCATCGTCATCATCATCATCAGTATCATCATCATCATCCTCAGTATCTTCATCAGCACCAGCATCATCAGCAGCAGCATCCATTACCATGAACATCATTATCAGTCGCATCATCAGCATCAGCAGCAGCATCATCACCGTAATAATCATGAGGAACATCATGCTCATCAGCATTAGCATCATCATCATAATCATCATCATCATCATCAGCATCATCATCATCATCATCATCATCAACCTCAGCACCATCACCAAAATCAACATCATCTGCATCAGCATCAGCATCATTATCATCAGAATCATCGTCATCATCATCATCGGCATCAGCATCATCATCTTCATCATCATCATCGGCATCAGCACCATCATCAGCAGCAGCATCAGCAGCATCGTCGTCATCAGCATCATCAGCATCATCATCCTCATCATCATCAGCAGCATAAGTATCAGCATCATCGTCAGCATCATCGTCATCATCGTCATCATCATCAGTATCAGCATAAGTATCAGCATCAGCAGCAGCAGCCTCATCATCATCTTCCTTATCCTTATCCTCATCATCGTCAGCCTAATCCTCCTAATCCTCCTCATCCTCCTCGTCCTCCTCATCCTCCGCGTCTTCCTCATCCTCCTCCTCCTCCCCCTCCGTGTCCACCTCAAACTCCTTCTCCACCACCCGTCTCATCCTCCTTACACTATTGTCCCTCCTCCGTTCTCGTCCTCCACATTCCTCCTCCCATCCTCCTGATTATCTTCATCCTCCGCGCACGCCTCAACCACCCCCGTCTCCTCCTCCTCCTCCTCCTCCTCCTCCTCCTCCTCCTCCTCCTCCTCCTCCTCCTCCTCCTCATCCTCCTCCTCATCCACCATATCCTCGTCCAACTCCTCCTGCTCCTCCTGCTTCTGCTCCTGCTCCTGCTCCTGCTCCTGCTCCTGCTCCTGCTCCTGCTCCTCCTCCGCCTCCTCCTCCTCTTCCGCCTCCTCCTCAACGTGCTCATCATCCTCCTCATCCTCATCCTCATCCTCATCCTCATCCTCCTCCTCCTCATCATCATCAGCATCATCAGCCTCATCATCATCATCATCATCATCATCATCATCATCATCATCAGCAGCAGCATCATCATCATCATCATCATCATCATCATCATCATCATCATCATCATCATCATCATCATCATCATCATCATCATCAGCCTCATCAGTATCGTCATCAGTATAAGCAGCATCATCAGCATCATCATCATAATCATAGTCCCCGTCATCATCAACAACACCATCATCATAATCATCATCATCAGCATCAGCAGCATCACCGTAATCATAATCAGCAACATCATGATCACCATCATCATCATCATCAGCAGCATCCGCATCATCATCACCCTATTATTCATGATGATACTAATAACGAATGAATAATCATAATAATAATAATAACAACAATAATAATAACAATAATAATAATGATAAGAATCAACATCCTCATCCTCATCAGCATCATCGTAATAATAATGATGATAAAATTAATAAGTAATAATGATAGTAAGAAGAAGTAATTAGCATGGTTATGATATAACAAGAGAAGATAGTAAGAATAATAATAATAGTAAGAATAATAAGATAGTAACAATAGTAGTAATAATAGTAAGAATAGTGATAATAGTAATAATGACAAGATACATGACTAGGATAGTAAAATTAATAATGACAGTAAGAAGAAGAATAATGAATTACTCCTTATGAGAATAGAAATAAAAATATAAATGCTACGCAGCATCCCCATCACCATCATCAGCAGCAGCATCATGAGCATCAGCAACAGCAGCATCAACATCAGCATCATCAGCAGCAGCAGTCGCTTCATCGCCATCAATCTACATCATCCGCATCATCATCAGCATCACCATCAGCATCATTATCATCAGCAGCAGCATCATCATCGACATCGCCACTATCATCAGCAGCATAATCATCCGCAGCAGCATCAACATAATCATCAGCATGATCAGCATCATCATCATCAGCATCATCATCAGCATCAGCAGCAACAGCATCAGCATCCGCATCATCATCAGCAGCATCATCATCGTCATCAGCATCATCAGCAGCATCAGCATCATCATCATCAGCAGCATCATCGTCCTCATCATGATCATCATAAGCATAATCATCTGCATCATCATCATCAGCAGCATCAGCATCATCATCATCATCATCATCGTCATCACCAGCATCACCTTCAGCATTCTCGTCATCCATCTTCATCCGCCTCAGCTTCAATGTCATCGTCGGCAACAGCATCGGCATCAGCATCATCATCATCAGCAGCAGCATCATCAGTATCAGCATCATCGGCATCAGCATCAGCATCACCATCAGCATCACCAATATCATAAACAGCAGCAGCATCAGCAGCATTGTTATCATCAGCATCATCATCAGCATCATCACCATCCTCGTCCTCATCCTCATCCTCATCATCGTCCTCATCCGCATCCTCCTCGTCCTCATCTTCTTCCTCATCCTCCTCCTCCGTCTCCACCTCCACCTCCTCCTCTACCTTCCCCTCATCCTCCTCACACTATTGTCCCTCCTCCATTTTCTTCCTCCCCTTCCTCCTCCCATCCTCCTGTGTCTCTTCGTCCTCCGCACCCTCCTCCTCCTCCTCATCCTCTTCCTCCTCAACCTCCTCCGAATTATATTCCTCCTCCTCCTCCTCCTCCTCCTCCTCCTCATCCTTCTCCTCCTCTCCTGCCCTCCTCCTCCTCCGCCTCCTCCTCCTCCGCCTCCTCCTCCTCCTGCTCCTCCTCCACCATCTCTCCTCCTCCTCCTACTCCTCCTCCTCTCCTCCCCCTCCTCCTCCTCCTCCTCCTCCTCCTCCTCCTCCTCCTCCTCTTCCTTCTCATCCTCCTCCTCACCATCAGCATCCTCATCCTCATCCTCATCCTCATCCTTATCATCATCATCATCATCATCATCATCATCATCATCATCATCATCATCATCATCATCATCATCATCATCATCATCATCATCATCATCATCATCACCAGCAGCATCATCAGCATCATCATCATTATCATCATCATCATCATCAGCAGCAGCAGCAGCAGCATCATCATCTTCAGCAGCTGCATCATCAGCACCAGCATTATCATCCGCATCATCATCATCATCATCATCTTCAATCAGCATCATCATCAGCAACATCATCATCAACAGCATCATCAACAGCATCAGTATCAGCATCATCAGCATCAGCATCATCATCGTCGTCACCAGCATCACCATCATCATCGTCAACATCAGCATCCGAATCATCAGAATCAGCATCATCATCGTATGCATCATCATCAGCAGCAGCATCAACATCGTCACCAACGTCATCATCATCAGCATCAGCAGCATCATCATCATCATCATCATCATCATCATCATCATCATCATCATCATCATCATCATCATAATCATCATCATCATCATCATCAGTATCAGCATCATCAGCATCAGCATCATCATCAGCAGCATCAGTATCAGCAGCATCAGCATCATCAACATCAGCAGTAGTATCATCATCGTCGGCATCATCATCATCATCATAAGCATCATCATCATCAACATCATCATCAGCATCATCATCACCATCCACAACATCATCATCATCATCATCATCATCATCATCATCATCATCATCATCATCATCATCATCGTCATCCTCGTCCTCATCCTCCGCGTCATCCTCATCCTCATCCTCATCCTCCTCATCCTCCTCATCTTCCTCCTCATCCTCCTCATCCTTCTTCACCTCCACCTCCTTCTCCACCTCCCCCTCATCCTCCTCACACTATTGTCCCTTCTCCTTTCTCTTCCTCCCCTCCCTCCTCTCATTTTCCTGTTTCTGTTCGCCCTCTGCGCCCTCCTCAACCAAAACCTCCTCCTCCTCTTTTTCCTCCTCGTCCTCCTTCTGCTCCTGCTCCTCTTGCCCCTGCTCCTGCTCCTGCTCCTGCTCCTGCTGCTCCTCCTCCTCCTTCTCCTACTCCTTCACCTCCTCCACCTCCTCCTCCTCCGTACACGTGCACTTGCCATGGTCATCGGCTCACCCTTTTGACCAGCTGCTGGTATCATTGCTGTCGCCGAACGTCTCTGACCGACGGGACACGAGCGGTGCAGGCGCGCGCCTCCTTCCTGGCGTCCCTGCTGCTGCAATAGCCGACGCACTCGCAGATATTCTCGTCGCGATGGAAGCACGCGCACCTCCACCGCCAGGCGCGGGCAGCACGAATCGGGCGCTGCCCGGTGTGGAGGGCAGCGAACCGAGAGGGGAGTGCAAAGGTGCACTTTTCATGCATCTTCGGGGCCCCAGGGGCGGCCTTTGGAGGCCCCTCTGGGGCCCTGTTCCTGCAACTCGCGCTCTCCCCAGCGATCGCCCCCGCCCCTTACGAAATGCCCGGACGAAGGAGGCACTGGGAGGCCCGCAGGGCATACTGTGTGTTCCGTGATAGGCGCCAGGCGTCGCCAGTCCTGTTGACGGCCCAAAGGCCAACCACCGTCGCGGTCGACCACCACGCGCCGAAGGCGCTCCAACACCGGGCGTGGTCTGACGACGAGGCGACTTTGACAATCGTCGTGCCCCACCCCACACCGCACACACCCTTGCGACGAAACGCAAAGTAGCGGCTCTTCGGGTTGCATGGGAGAGGGGGCGAAGACGAGGACCAAGGGGAAGAGGAGGAAGCAAGAAAGGCATGGAGATAGAGGGGCAGGGAACTGAAGGTAGACGTAGAGGGGAATGGAAGGGGGCGAGCAAGGATAGATATAGTAATAGGCGGAGACGTGCGAAGATGATGAACCCATCGTAACATCGAAAGGCTGCCGTCTCCTTATCACCATCCTCCTCATCATCCGAATTATGCTTATCATTATTATCCTGGTATCCTTGCCACCATCCCCTCTCGTCAATGCAAATCCCGCCACCACGCTTGCAGAAGTGGGCGTGACTCGAGACCCGCGAAGCCCTCTGGAGTACTCACTGCTCCTTGCGAGTTGATAGCCCAAAGAGCCCGACGAGGAGGACGAGGAGAAGGAGGACGACGACCAAGAGGAAGCCCTCGATAGTTGGGGCAGGGGGCCGGCAGTGGCCGCAGACCTTCAGGTAACTGAGGCGTCCTCCCACGAAACGGAGATGCTGTCGAGCACGTGCAAAGCGCTGTATCGTCGAATGCGCAGAAAACGCGAGTTTTACACCGCCTCGGTGGGGAATCTCAGTAGACATCGCCCCCACCGCCTAGCAGCTACCCGAGGGCGCAGGACTGGCTTCGGGCCAGTTCGCAAACGGCCCACGACATGCAGCGAAATGGCACACGATCCGACGGCCGCAAGACGCCCCAACACGGCCCCGAAGACCTCCCCTGCCAGTACCACGCCCCAACCAAGGCAGCCTGTAGACTCCCGACTGCCTTTCCAGGGGCCCTTCACGAGGCGAGTGGAAGGCCAACAAAAATTATCCAGGCGAAGGACCCAACCATATGCAGTTGTGAATACCGCAATTGTGAATGTCTTCTTCGGTGGCGCCCCCTATGGGGCCACGAACCGTGTGCCGAATTGTGTGGCGTAGCCTCTGCAGGGGGCGTCCCTGAGAACCCCGACGGCAGCGCCCGCGCGCCGCGACGCCCGTGTCGGCACGCCCCACACGAGGATCGCGCCCGCTTCCTCCCCTCCTTGTTACTGTTCCTTTGCCTGCGCACTCCAAAGTCCAAGGCTGCGGGCGCAGCGCAAGGCGGAGCCCTCGCGACGCGCGCAGGTCGCCCCGAAGGGGTCACAGTGACGCGCACGGTTCGTACGCTGTGTGGAACAGAGATTGCTTGCTGGCTAACTGATAACGCGCATGGCTCCGGCCGCCGGGCGGAGCGACGACGGGCGAGCGAGGCGCTGGACAGAACGCAACGCGGAGTCCGCGCGACGCGCGCTCATCGCCCCGAGAGGGTCCCAGCGACGCGCGCAAGGCGTCCGCGGCGCGAGGCCAAACAGTTGGACAGCCGAGAGAAGGCGCGGCTGTGGCGGGCCGTTCCTCCAAGGGGTGTGCCGAAATGGGTGTGCGGGACGCATGCGGGCACACCCACTGGGACCTTCGGTGGAGCTCCCTATGGGGCCACGAAACGTGTGAGGGGTGTGCCGACATGGGTGTGCGGGACGCATGCGGGCACACTGGGACTTCGGTGGAGCTCCCTATGGGGCCACGAAACGTGTGAGGGGTGTGCCGAAATGGGTGTGCGGGACGCATGCGGGCACGGTGGAGCTCCCCCGTGTGAGGGGTGTGCCGAAATGGTGTGGGGACGCATGCGGGGGGTGAGCTCCCTATGGGGCCACGAAACGTGTGAGGGGTGTGCCGAAATGGGTGTGCGGGACGCATGCGGGCACACCCACTGGGACCCTTCGGTGGAGCTCCTATGGGGCCACGAACGTGTGAGGGGTGTGCCGAATGGGTGTGCGGGACGCATGCGGGCACCCACTGGGACCTTCGGTGGAGCTCCCTATGGGGCCACGAAACGTGTGAGGGGTGTGCCGAAATGGGTGTGCGGGACGCATGCGGGCACACCCACTGGGGCCTTCGGTGGAGCTCCCTGTGGGGCCACGAAACGTGTGAGGGGTGTGCCGAAATGGGTGTGCGGGACGCATGCGGACGGCAGCCATGGGGCCTTCGGTGGAGCTCCCTATGGGGCCACGAAACGTGTGAGGGGTGTGCCGAAATGGGTGTGCGGGACGCATGCGGACGGCAGCACTGGGGCCTTCGGTGGAGCTCCCTATGGGGCCACGAAACGTGTGAGGGGTGTGCCGAAATGGGTGTGCGGGACGCATGCGGGGGGTGTGCCGAAATCGAAATGGTGTGCGGGACGCATGCGGGACACCCACTGGAACCTTCGGTGGAGCTCCCTATGGGGCCACGAAACGTGTGAGGGGTGTGCCGACATGGGTGTGCGGGACGCATGCGGGCACCCCACTGGGACCTTCGGTGGAGCTCCCTATGGGGCCACGAAACGTGTGAGGGGTGTGCCGAAATGGGTGTGCGGGACGCATGCGGGCACACCCACTGGGACCTCCGGTGGAGCTCCCTTTGAGGCCACGGAACGTGTGAGGGGTGTGCCGAAATGGGTGTGCGGAGGAGGAGGGGGAGGAAGGGAGGGGAGGGGGGAGGAGGAGGAGGAGGAGCGAGGAGAGCAGAAGAAAAGAAGAGAAGATGAGGAGGAAGGAAGGAGAAGGAGGGACGCGGGCCACCGTCTCTTCAAAACGAGGACCCAACACCACAGGATGGTTGGGAAAAATTAAACATCTTGCTGTCTTTCAGATGTTGACGCCGTGCTACACCAGGGAGCCTGCATCTGCCTCCGCCAGCCCGCGCTCCGAGGAGTGTGCAGGGATTGGGAGGGGGGGGCACAGGAACGGGGACGGGGAGGGGGGAGGACCAGGGGCATCGCCATGCACTCCAATCGGCAGGGTCGCCGCACGAAGGATCGGGAAGGCCAGGACGACCCGCACGATCCAAGCCGCCTGACCTCGGCCCCAGTGGCATGGGCAGCAAGACGGGCGGACCCAGACCCACAGCTCTGGGAGGACACCGGGGATAAAGATCCCAGCATGTGGCATGACACGCCCAGGGTGGCGGTAATGTAATGGTGATGATAAGTATGATGATGATGATGATGATGATGATGACGATGATGATGATGCTGATGATGATGGTGGTGGTGATGATGATGATGATGATGGTGATGATGATGATGGTGATGGTGATGATGATGGTGATGGTGGTGGTGATGATGATAGTGATGAAGATGAAGATGAAGATGATGATGAAGATGATGAAGATGAAGATGAAGATAAAGATAAAGATACAGATTATGATGATGATGATGATGTTGAGGATTATGATGATGCTGAGGATTATGATGATGCTGATGAAGATGAAGATGATGACAATGATGAGGATGATGATGATGATGATGATGATGATGATGATGATTACGATGATGATGCTGATGGTGATCATGATGATGACGATGACGATGACGATGATGGTGATGGTGATGATGATAATGCTGGTGCTGATGCTGCTGCTGATGATGGTCATAATGATTATTATGATTATGATTATGAGGATAAGGGAGGTGAGGATGAGGATGATAATGAGGAGAATAATTGTCATGATGATGATCATGATCATGATGCGGATAATGATGATGATGATGATGGTGATGATGGTGTTGATGATAAGTATGATGATGGCAGTGATGATGATGATGATGATGATGATGATGCTGTGGATGGTGATGGTGATGATGTTCATGATGATGATGGACATGATAGTGGTGATGGTGATGAGCGAGGAGAGCAGAAGAAAAGAAGAGAAGAGGAGGAGGAAGGAAGGAGAAGGAGGGACGCGGGGCTATGTCTCTTCGAAACGAGGACCCACCACCACAGGATGGTTGGGAAAAAGGAGGCTAGCACCAGGCTGAAGACGCTCACTTGGACCTCGCCTTCCTACGAGTAACCCCGGAGACGGCCAGCGCAGTCATGCAGGCCGCGGGTCCGAGCCACCCAAACCAAAGCTTCCCGAGCCGCACAAAACATGATTTTGCCCTTCCTGGCGGCAGCAGTCGGCTCAACATGCACGTCGCGGCCCTGGCAGACCGCAAAGTCGGCCCAGCGGTTGCCTTCATCCTCCTCCTGCGAGCCTCGTAGCTCTGTTCCCGCTGGTGTCCCGGAGCATGCACCGCCTGCAAGGTCTGCCCAGAGAACCCCGAGATCAGCCATCGACCTCCAGACCTGGCGCAAGAGGTCGTCGGTTCTCCAGCGCCTCGGACGACGTCCCCACTCAGGCCCCCTGGCGAAGCCCTGAGGGAAGCCAAAGTACTCCGTCAAAGTCTCGATGGGCAGCAAAGCCACCTGTAAAATCTGACCCACAGCATAAGCTCAGCCCTTGGAGGGCCCTGAACTAGGCAAGGAAGCGGGCCAAAGACGACAAGCTCGACCATGTCCACGCTCACCTGCATGAAACCCCGCCCTGCCCTGGACGCGGCCATCCAGCGCCTCATCGGAAAAAGATATCACCCGCGACAAGGGACGCGCTTCCATGCGAAACAGACTGCGCACAAGAGCCGCTCCTGCCAGGAAGCCCGGGAAGAAACCCACACGAGAGGAGCCCACGACTCCAGAACCAGGCGCGATGGGCGTGACGTCGGGAAGACGACTCTTCTCCG